GCGAATCGGCAAATTGTTATCTTATTATCTCAGTCGGCAAAACTGGATTGGCTAAAGATAACCACTGAAGAAACCAAAATTGACTTCCTGAATAATTGAATTCAAACCGAATATCACGACTAACATGCAGCAAAGAAACCACACATGCAGCAATGCAAATTCTTTATAATTAAATTTGTTTAGTTGTTCGTTGTTGTTCAGTTGTTTTTGCTTATTATACTGTTCTGTAAAAGAGGCAATAAAGCGGTCGGTTTTCCACTAGCGAATTTTTTCGCACGAAGCGACCTTTTCCTTTGTCGGTATCACTTATTACGACAGCAAGACGTGACAAAATCAGTCCTCGAAAACGAGGTCGGCATTCCAAGGTCGGCAAAAATTTACCGACCTTAATTCAACCAAAGTAAGAATTTTTTGGTGCTGTTAGCTGTTAAAAAGTCAGCGATTATAGAATTCGATCCGTAGTTTGATTAACTGAACACACTACGGTGTAAGGTTTAAAAATTGACGGGTATTGTGTATATACGTTAGGTGTCTGAAGATCAAATTTCGCGCGTCTGGAGTTAAAATTTGGCTTCAACTTTCGAATTTTCCGGCTGGAGGTAACGTTCCAGTTATATTCCGATTTCAATGATTCGTAAATGCGTGATTAATAGTGCTCCAAGACGTGAAACAGATTTTAAGAAATGCCGAGACGTGCCGACCTAGGTCAGATTTAGGTCGGCCCTTTTTTTCCGATCTCAATTTTGACGGTTTTCGAGGGCTTCAAAATGGATGCCGACAAAGGAAAAAGGTCGCTTCGCGCGGAAAAATTCGCTAGTGGAAAACCGGCTTAATAGAGGGTAATAAAGCGCATTTAGGGGCGGACCATTTGATTTTTGAGGGCGGGGGGTTGGAAGATTTCGAAAAAAATTTCCTGCAATCCAATGAGGAGAAAGAAAAAAATCATGCAGCATATAATCGAGAAAAAAAATATCATGCAAAAGAGAGCGCTCAACGTTCTTCACTTCAGTATTGTGTCCACAGGCTTGCAAGATTTTGCATTTTTGAGCAGGCACATTTGCTTAAAAGAACACGGGGTGAACAGTGGACAACATCACAGGGATTCTACCGCCTTTGGAGCCTATAACATACGATAGCCAGTGGCGTTCCCTGGCAAAATTGTTGCCCCCCCCTGAGAAAATCTGGGCTTAAGATATGTACAAGTTTATAAGTTATTTATACATATCTAATATGCATGGTAGAAAAAGTATTTTTGGATGGTTGAGTCTGTGTGCGTTGTTTGATAACATGGCTCCAAACTATTAAAACTTCAAAGGCCCATCTACAGGATGCAAGTTGAACGTACTGCATATACGATGATTTTAATGCGAAAATGCCAGTTTGGAGAGTCTAGATTTTAAAACATTTCTGAAGAGGATGTAACCCGATCCCCAACAAGCTATCTGTATGAACGATTGAAAAGCTACAGAGCTATATTTGGTGGAACATTGTTGTTTCGGGGGCAGTTAAAAATCGCATTATTGAAATCTTGTTTTATTACATATTAATCAAAGCTCATTTTGTGATTTTCCCTTGTTTAAAATAAAGGATAGTAAGTGTTCCTTAGGCTTAGTACAGCAAAGTTGTTGGACGAATCCATGACTGAAAACGCAGGAAATAGCATTTCCGACGTTCAAATTTTAAAATTTTCTCGGGGAAGCATGCCCCCGAAGCCCCCAAGGTTACAGGTCATTCATATACTGTACCTCCCCCATTTTCGAATACTCTACTCTATCCCTGCATGTTTTAGGTTTTGGTGCAGTTATACATTTTTTGTAAGTAAACCTGCACGCTTTAGTGTGGGGAACATTAAGATATAACCATATAAAATAAAGCACAGTGAAAATTCCTTGGCCCCTCTTGGAATTCAGTTCTCGGCCTCCTCTGACTGAAAACCCAGGCTACGTCTCTGACGATAGCTATATGAAAGCGCAAAAAATATCCTGCCGCGAAATATATTGGGAAAAAAATATCTTGCGCTGCATTTTTACAGGAAAAAAAACATCTGTCTTGTTCCCCTGGGCGGAAAAAAATTATTGCACAGTCTGAATCTTCCACCCCCCCCCCCTCTCAAAAATCAAATGGTCCGCCCCTTAAACATGCACATTTACTATAGGCTAATGACTCGGCAAAATTACTACCCTGGCCCAGAGGTTTTTTTAGGTTTGGCGAACGCGAAATGCGAGAAAACGCGCGACGAAAAAGGAAAAACCTCTGGTGAATTTGTTAGCGATTCCTGGTTCGGATAAGGATGCAAAAAATGTATAATGGCTTAATGCATTATATTCTAAAAATATTATCCAATCATTATCCTTGACGCCAGGCCGTCTAGACAGGGTTTTATAGCATCACAGTTAATAAAATAGGATTTTCTATTTTATTAACTGTGATCGCATGTATACTGTCCAGTGCATGCCTGTCCATTTGTAGCAATATTCATAGGCGTACGGGACGGGGGGGAGGCAGGGGGCAGCTGCCCCCCAAAAAGATTACAAAGTCGAAAAGTCGGGCAAATGTTCAACAAAAGTCGGGCAAAAGTCGGGGAAAAAGTAGTCAAAGGAATAAAATCTCTCGTAATAATAACCCCAGTTTTTGTTGGGCAAACCAAGCCAGTTGGGCAATATTGGGTTATTATAAAAATAAATTGGACAAATTCTGCCAATTTTGCGGGAAATTATGTAAATTTTGTGATGTTTGGGAAAATGTGTTTGATGTTCCGAAAAATGTTTGGTATGTCCGAAAAATGTTTGGACCCCTAAAATGGTCCACTGACCGAAATTTTTTTGGCGACGGGGGGGGGCAAATTTTATTGTTCCGGAAAAAAATATTTTCGTGCACTGGTCGGGCACAATTCGAAAAAGTCGGGCAAATTTCTTTCTGCCCCCCTAATTTTTTCCTTCCCGTACGCCTATGGCAATATTCATTCTCCTGAATTTCATTCAATTTAAAACATCACATCTATTCAATTTAATATAAATATATATTTATATTCATTCACTTTAATCTTGCAATATACATTCAATTTAATCCTGCAATATACATTCAAAAAAATCTGTATTTAAATTTATTAAACGCACCTCTTTGGGCCGACGTGAACTTTGTCTGTTAATACAAAAGCAAGCAAATTTGTCTTGTACATTTCAAATGAAACCATTCCTCTGCATTTCGCATTTCGAATAATAGACTCGGGATTACAAAATGCGAATGTAAACTCTCCATCTAGTATTGCTTTCTCGTCCTCTTCGTTTGACAGTGAAGTAACACGGCATCCACGCTTTCTTAGTTCACGGACGTGAGAGTCAATGAAAGAGTTCAATTTGCAAATGACTATTAAGATGGGGTTCTCCAGAAAATTGTGGCTTTTGCCAAGTCGTCGTGCTACTCTCGGTGTTAGAACTTTGGAATATTAAACTCTTCCCATAACCGATAGCAAGATGCAAATAGATCTTTAATGTGAATCAAATTGGACAAGGCGCGGTATTGATGCTCCGTTAAACTTTTAATTCAGGAAATTTATCAATCTATCTATTAATGCAGCCTATAAAAC